ATATCTAAAAAACTGCTCAAAAATAAGCCCTAACATTTTATGAATTGTGATTTACCAATGTTTGAATTTGTATGGAATATATCTTCAGCATTTGTTCCTTTGATTGATTTAGACAATCTTGCCAAAATCTATTTTGTGGATAATTTAAATGTTAGAACTAAAATTTAATGAAGTAATGTTGAGTATTATTTTGATATACTGAAGATGATATGGCAACCCTATCAATCATGAGAGCAGAATTTATTAGTTGTCTCATAAAGGACAAGGTGCAATTATTGGCAAATATCCCTATGGTCAAAATGAATCATTCGTAGGTGTAACATGAAGAATAATATGTCATATAATACTTTGGAAAATATTAAAGTGCTCGGACACACATAAGCTGAGATAGGGATCCTTTCGTTCAGTAAGGTTGTATTGACTTACATGGGGCTGTGCACCATTGACTTAACATGAGGATATCAGCAGATCCCAATAGAGGCCATTGGTTTCCATTGATTATCGCAGAAATACCAAAAATACACTATGACCTGAATCGATTGCAAACTTAATAATTTCACAATACGACACAAATGGTTTATCTCATCAAATGTGCAAATATGAAGTTTGCAATCGATTCAGGTCATACTTAAAATCAAAAGATTGTACATTTTTTCATCATTTTTTTCCCTACAAAATGGCTATAGAAAAATGCTCCAAAAACAACTTTTACACTTATCAAATATCATACAAGTTAGTAAAACCAAAGATTATACTATTATATTTCATTATGTAGTAACATATTTGGATGAGATGCAGGGATGCGTAGGATGTAAATGGATTTTGACAGACACAAAAATACTTCCTGGTTTGGAATCTTAGGCCTCTACACTTCATGAATGAATTATGACCCTAATAAGTGGCCTATACATCAATACAGTGCTGAATATAGGTCAACAAGATACTAGTGTGCATATAAATGTAATAATTGAAGCAGAATACTCATTTGAAAAATCAGATGAATTATTTTTTTCCCATGGGGAGATCCCAATGGAGGGTGTATAAGGTCCTTTAAGGATGTAAATTGACCCTGGGGAAAGTATGTACTGTATCTTTAAAGGGTTCCGATTAGCATCCCGTACAAAAACAATATGGCGGCTCCAGGCGAATCAACTGGATCAGTCCATTTTTAAGAAATAAGGGGAGTTCTGTAAAATCCAGTTTATTGAAATTGTCTTTGAGATAAAGTAATCCGTTTATAATGATTTTGAAAACGTTATCCAAAGAGTGATTGCGTTCAAAGAATACATGTACAACAGCCAATATAAATCCTTGTATTAGAATTGCTTTGTTTCATTTGTAGGATTTTCATATGCCAAGCTGTGTGCTATTACGTTATGGGGAAATTTAGATGCCAATTTTTATTATTATACACAAATAGAAGATCCTGAAATTTCACCCATAAATGTGGAATTGATTTGTCAAAATAAAAGTCACCCTTTTATAAATGTGTGACGATCTATAATATACTTATGCTATATAACAGTTAGAGGTGTTGACACAACGACCTCGAACCTGTGAACCCTTGAGTATTATTCCGGGATCGGGCCTTTTATACTAAACGGTGAGCAACACCAGAAATGAGCGTTCGATTTGCTAAACGATATGCGTCACCCTTTAAGGGCTCTAAAAAAGGCTAAGCTTCCTGACTAATGTTCTCTATTTAGCGAGTATTCCCATATCCAAAAGAAAAATCTACCATCTTTGGCTGAACTCCCATCACAGTGTCTCGGAATGGACACTGTGGCCAGCAGATGGAGAAATAATCAAATTTGTTGAAAATAGTCCCTTTTTCAACATTGATTTACTCAATTTTACTCCTGAACTTATGAAATACTGTTTTATGTTCTGCAGTCATTATTTTGTCAAAATACTTTAAAATTCATGAAATATTAGAAGAAATCCCTGTGAAAGGAATTTTGAGTTTAAACTTTTGTTGACAACAATTTAATGCTCATGGGTTTACCAAATAATAAGCGCAGTGTAACAAATTCTCTGTGTTTCCCAATCAAGCAGCATGAGCATGGAACAAGAACTAGATATAATCATGTCAATTAGTATAAGTGAATTGCCACATTACAGTGCAAGCTGAGACCCAATCCAGGACTATAATCGTGAAAATGTCCAAATATTTTGCAATGTATGATTAGTGGGGTTGATTTTTCAACTACTTTGTCTCAACTACTAACAACATTTTCAGTCCCAAGATTTCAGTGCACAAGTAGTTGTGTGTGGGTGATTTGAAAAAAACCCACATTTATAGGGATGCCCCTCTTATACTTTAATTCAACATAAAAGGAATCCTCAAATATTATAAGGAGTTTATTGAGGTAGGTATTATCTTAAATCATGGGCATTCAATAGATTCTATTGAAAGCCCATGCTTAAATGTAAGAGCCATGGATTATTCTCCCATGTTGTAATCATACAGGCAAAGGAGTGGGACATTCTCAGGATTATAGTCATAGCACAGGATAAGCTGAGAGTGTAAGGCCCCTGGATGCCAAGTTGCTACTACACACTTAACACTTTCTTTCAATTTCTTTATCTGGCTTGTTGCACTTTACTCATTAATTAGTCATTCCCTGGGGCGCCCTCGGAAAATATCATGTGCAGGTATTGCAATTTTTACCAAAATTATGTTTCTTTCCTGCTGAACCTTAAATTACAAGAGGGCTTATTGCACAAAAAACTAAATAATCTGAAATATACAAATGTCATCCATATACTTTATGGATGTTAATTTGCACATTTGTTACTTCAACTAGCTTTATTTCCACTTGACAATATGCTGTGTTACTTTTTATTGCATTTAATTGTACCTTACTACTTAATTGAAATTTTGTAATGTTTACTTTGTTGAAGAAATGGTTCCTCTCATTGATAATTTTGTGCAAAAAAATTCACTGCAATTTCCACAGGAAAGTAGTACATCATAACAGACTGACTTCTAGTCAGTCTGTTGGATACATACTAGGGGGCAGCCCCTCCTAGCTACGCCTATGACATTGTAAGACGATTTGAAAACATGACAAATCAATCTTACTCTATTTTCAATAGTTCATATGTTGGTACATAAATTGTTTTCTGTTCAGTGACCTTTCCTGAGCACCTACTCTTAGCTATTTTTCAGTCACATTTTCAGAGGGCTGAAAAGGTTATTTCATCATGTTTATGGTCATTCTGACCATTTCCATTGTGTTCCCAGTCATGTAAATAAATGATATGTGGAACTAGTTAAACTGACTGGAGGTCCAAACAGAACTCTGTTATCTTGGTTCAAAAAATTTTCAAAATCCAGCATGGTTTTGACATTTTTTGTTTTGTCATTTCCTGTTAACTTCCATAGCACCTTAAATCTATATAATAAATAGCTATCGTTACTTTAGCAGAGAGGTGACTTGTGTTAATTTACATGATGCAACGAAGATTTTGATTATTAATCATAATTTAAGTTATCCCAATTTTCAACGAAACGTCCACTGAAGTGTAAATTGTTACGTCTTACAATGTCATAGGCGTAGCCAGGAGGGGGTGCCATGGTGCGATCGCAACCCCCCCCCCCCATAACCAATGAAAATATGACCATGATGATATGAAGAGCCTAAAATGCTTTTTATTTGAAGCTTCTAGCTCAATTTTGAAGGAACAGTTAGTCGGTTATATACATTTTTGTAAATTCAAAACAAATCTTACACGTTTACTGCACAGGGGCTTGTCTGGAGGGTCGGGCAAGCCCTCCGATGAGTGTACTGCTTATTAAGAGTAAAAAAGGAGGTCGGTTTTGATGCTTCCTGAAATTTGTAGAAAATGATTGTTAGATATAACCAGTGAAAACATAAGGAATCCTTTCAATAATCGACATGCTCATTCAAACAACACTACAGAGCAAAGTTACCCAAAATGGTAGCAATCCATCCACTAGTTGCTGAGAAATCTGAAGAGTATGTAAAGAAGTGATTACACTGCAAGTACCGAAAATTTTTGAAGCCAAATTATTACCTCCAGAGTCGATTTCTTCCCCAAGACAAAGATGCATGAAATTAGAAGTTTCGAAACTGAAAGTTGAAAAATGGCGACGTTCCCATGTTCTATGCGCAGGTGCGTTCAATCCAGCAATTTGATTAGTTCATATTATATGAACGCATGCGCAATAACTACATATATTTTTAGATAGATGTCACTTATAGGAGGGCTTGCCCGACCCTCCAGACAAGCCCCTGTGGTTTACTGATGATATATGTTTGTTTGAACCCAGCATGGACGATTTACTACCCGGTACCCGGTATTTTCTACAAACCCGGCTTCAAATCTGAGCATCAATCACGAAAATAAAACTGAGCACTGAAAGATACAGGGATCGTTTCGATGTGAACGTCAATAACATAACTTTACACTCACCTTGATACTTTAGAATATACGTCGTCACAGACACATGTAAAGAGAAATGTGTTCAAAATATTATTCACACATTTCACAATATTGTGCACTTCCGGTATATAAGATGTCAACTGAGAGTGAAACGAAAGTTCCCGAAACTTCTTCAGGAAAATTTGTTCTTCAATATTATTTTGGCAAAGAACTATTAGAACAAAACTATTAGACAATGTTTTTGCGCTTAGCGTAGAGTTATTTTTATCACCAGTATTAACAATTTAAAACTGTGATTTTTAATGAGATATTCCTCAAAAAAGTTTGCCATCTGTATTTTAAATTATTTCGCGCCATATTGGATATATGGACTCGTCCAATTTAAGGGTAGATAATTATTATAATTTTCACATCTGACGTTTTTTCCCTATCATTTATCGAGCATTATCGTATTATGTAATCAAATCATATGTAACAATTTCAAAGTGAAGTTGATATTATAATTTAACTTTATTAACGGTTAAATAAAATATAGTAAATCTGAGTCTCACCCCTCATATTAAAATGCAGTGGCGTTGCTATTAGCGACCAAGTACACACTATGGAAGGCAGTGCTTGACAACAAGGAGGATTGGCTCCCAGGATCGAAACTCGATATTTTCCAACAATGAAAACGTCGAAATGTCGTTATTTTCTGAAATTAAAACCGACTATAAATTCAAAATAAACAGTTCAAAAGATTCGAACCAATATCTCGATCGTTTCTTGTGAGTTTTGGAATTTTTCGTTTGGAAATAAGACCAAAATTCACGATTTAAATGTTGAAGTGAACAAAATGGCGGCTGTTTGAATTCGAATTTTGTATTACGACATACCCATATATGGGACAGAATATCGGTGGTGCACTCTGGGAGCCAATCCTCCTTGGCTTGACAACGAATACTGTTTATTTGATGTGAATAACAATTCTTATCTTGTATTAACTAATCAGTCTGTGATAATAAGATCAGTAATAAGGACAGTGAACATAATAGAGCAATTATAAACATAATACAATGGGGAAACTCTGCATTTGTCAGATTTGCACATGCGGGTAAGTTTTTCAACTGAACTTCAACTTGTTCAAGTTGATGGCAATTTTCAATTTCAATTTAGCTTCAACTCAACGGGGGCAAGTCAAACCTTGGTATATTTTGGTGAATGTCGTGGGGATTGAATGCTCCGTGTCTCATTCGATTTCTTCCGACAGACTAATGTTTACTTACCATTGCTTTCTGATGCGATTTGTCAAAAACAGTGAGTTACGGATAACTAAAGGCAGCTTTAGGGTAGTGTGTTCAGTTCAGTAGACACTAGAACTAATATTTTTCATCATGTGTCTTTTGTGCTTATGTCTTATACTTTATCAATGTCATGTTATTCATTTAGTAATTCATGGAATGTCAGTTGCAAATAACAATTATATATCTGATACGTCAAGATAACATAGATGACATTTTACATTATTTCAGACGGCATCGATGTCCTCATAAGCCTTATGGTGGCGGAAAGAAGGAACCTTGTACTATCTCTGAGTACGCCAACAGATATCAGAAGCATCCACTCACAAAGCTTGAAAACTTCAAACCAAATAATGAGCCAATGCACAGCGAAGGTCCATTGGAGGATAAAACAACAAATCGCCAAGATTACATCAAACATCCTCTGGGTGACCGACCTCGTCCTCATGTGGAGGATTATAGGAAACCAGATGGAGATATGGATATGATGACTAACTATACCAAAGATTATATAAGTAAGCTAAGCTAGGCTGTTTTGTTGATTCTTTGATTTGTTGGTGTCAGCTTTAAAATAATGTTTTGAAATTATTGCTAGCATTTTTTCAAACATACTTGTAATTTATGATTGTAATTTGGAACAGCTAACTTTATTCTTTTTAATCATTCACTTTACTATCATTACAGAGAAACCAACAGAAAGAGTTCGAGCTATTCGCAAAGATGATGCCCCACGAGTTGTTGGGAAGTTTGAGGGATCACCGACATACAAAAGTAAGTTTAGTGTGCAATGACATTGATTCAAAATAAATCACTGAAGAAAGTGGTTTACCTTTTACTTACCATTCTGATTGTAGTCAGATAACGAAGATTATAATGTATAATTAATGAGTTTATGGATATTACAAAGTAATGGCAAACAATCAATCAGTCAGTGTTACACTGGATTGCATGCAAGACATAATGTATGAATAATTTATTTATTATAATTCAAGTAATGATTAATAAGCAGATAAGTTGAGAAGATACAATCAACTTGAAATACATGGACCACATAATTAACCGATCCTTAACAACACCATATCCTGAAAATATATTTCTCTCTATTCTTTTTCAGATGACTACAGACAATGGCAGCTCCCTAATAAAATGGATCGTCACCAGGAACCTGTATGGGTGCCCCCAAATGATAAATTTGAGGGTACTCCTACATATAAGCGTGATTACATTGGATATAAGAGTCTCCCAACTAAGAGCATGAAACCCGATGATGTTGCGTTTGCCTCAGCTGACCCATTTGATGACCAAACTGGTTATCGTAAAGACTATATAAAACACCCAATTGAAGCAAGGAAAGCAAAGGAGAAACCAGTGTACAATCCAAATAAGGCTCCCCTTGATGATATGTCCACATTCAAGAAGGACTATCAAGGCATCCAAGGGCCTAAGATGGCATCTTGTAAACCTGATTCTGAAGCATTTCAGTCCAGTGCCCCATTGGAAGATGCAACTACGATGAGAGATGACTACAAGAAATGGTCAGCCCAGCGCCCACATCAACACGTCCCTGATGCATACACCAAACCCCAAGGTGAAATGGACATGAACACTAACTACACTCATGACTATCGTAAACACGCAATGCAGCCAGTTAAAGCTGCTAGGCCACAGTCTCGTAAAAGTGTTCCCGGTAAATTTGAAGATGCTACCAACTATAATAATGATTATCGTAAGTGGAGCATGGGTGAACGTCAAAAGCCTACAATGAAGCCAGATTACGTACCCCCAGATGCGCCATTTGAGGGTTTGGCCACGTATAAATCTCATTATGTTCGTCATGGTGGGCTTCCAGCAGCGAGCTGTAAACCAGATGACAAAGGATTCGCTAGTGACTCTCCATTTAATGATAACACTATGTACAGGACTGAATTCATTCCTAAGAAACAGGAACCCTGCCCTGCAGTGGCTGTGGACAATAGTGGAAAGTACGCATTTGATAACCAAGACCCAAGAGGACATAAATGGTACCGCCCTACATTCGAATCAGTCACACCATTGCCACAGCGAAACAGTCCATCACGTAGCGGGCTTGTTGCTGCGTGAATAGATGGCGTTTGAATCTGGGCTGGTGCAACTAGCTATGGGGTCACTAAAAGTTACATCATAGCTTTAATTAACACTAGAATCTCTTTGCTCAATATACAAACTGTGAGCTAGGATTGGTTTTAGCTCCATAAGCACAACAGGGCACAAAATTGCTGCCTTTGTGTATCTTTGAGAAACTAATGGTGCAATGATTGTAGCGCACAAATCTGGTTCAGTATGAGCCGATAAGAATGTGTTATTTGCCAGTTAATTAACAATAACATTCTGTTAATATTAACTAATTGGAAATCAGAAGTCCGTCCAATTTTATATATATGTTTGTTACCAAAAAAGTTTACTTGTTAAGTTATGTTATTTTTTATTACATTTTCGTGAAATGTTGGAAATCTCTTTAAAACTCGGTTCATCTTACAGATAATATAATGACAAAACTATTTTCATGTCATCCAGAATCGGTACTAATATGGGTATAAATTCCTTCTACCAAAATTCCAGAGAGCATATTTTCATAATGTTAAAGTTGAGAAATGTATATAAAATGTATATTTGATAGCCTTAGGAAATTATAATTTATTTTTATAGCATGTAGTGCCAAAGACCTTGTTTTAATTGTTTAATGATCAGATAGTTGCCTTTAGTTTGCAAGCTATGTACATTTTAAATTAGTGATTTTATTGAAAATTCAAACAAAATCATTTTGATTGCAGTAATTATTAGTATCATATCTATATGATAGCCCTTGATTTTATGTTCAAATGATCAGATACATATAGTTGCCTTTAGTTTGCAAGCTTTGTGTAGAAATATCTTTCAATTTGCAATTTGAGTAAAAGTTCAAACAAAATCCTATTGGTTGCAGTAATTCATATATATGCCCTTATTTGGTATATAGGCCCTTAGTTGGAATTGATTTTGTCTCAGGTATATAATCCGTCCAAATAATAACTGTGGTTCAAAAAATGTTATAGTAAATTGTAATGTGAAATACTTTATGTACAAATAAAATATATTAGTATATATAAAATTGAAAAATATCTCTATTGGTTGTGAATGACAAATTGGTAAAAAGTAATATACAGACACAATATGTATTATAAATTCCAGAACCATCACACTTTAAGGAAAACAGAATGGAACAGCTGATGTGAATCTTAAAACAAAGAATTGCAAACTGATGTCATTTGCACACAGGTCTATCTCACCAGTTCCACCTTACATGCCTTATGTTAATATTTGAGTAACTTTAAAATCTTAGAAAAAATTATCCTTTTTCCACACAATGTGGTATCAATCATAAGTACGCAATTGAAAACAGATTGTTGCCGGGAAATATTTATTTATTAATGGATAAATAACATCGGTGTTGTTTATCCAATA